GTTTAGTGAGCAAACAGCCACAGAAATGGCAAAGGATTGGAGACAACGGCAGGGTGGAGGAGAATCTGAGATGATCTGTCCCACAGAATCTTCTTATCAAATAACATCTTAAGGCCAGAAGCAGACACAAGTGACAGCTGAGTCCCCCCGCTGAATGAAATCTCCTTTCCTGGGCAGAAATCAGTCTTTGTTCACAGACTGCTTTACCACATCCACTAAGTCCCGCAGCTCACTGCCGCTCAGAGGACACCCAGGATGTGGCTTTCAGGCCTATGTGCCAGGCCACTTTGCCCAAAGGTCATGTAGGTCGGCAGAGGCAGGGGCAGGTTCCTCATTTACCGCCACAAAAGAAGTGGACCAGTTTGTCATCTCCCTCTTTAACTGATAATTTGACCGCATCTCATCTCTTTTTCTGGGATCCCACTGAGCCAATTGGTAACCTGTGAATCCTTTCAGTAATAAAGTGAGAGAAAACACAGATCTGGAAAAGTCAATTATTAAGAATATTTGTTTTTTCAAGATCCTTCATTCCAAGTTCTACCACAGAGCCAGCTCACCTCCTGCTTAAAAAAGGACTGAAATGTCAGCATTCACCTTGTTTAAAGTGCAGCAACTAAGGGCCAGGGCGGGAGAGAGGAAAGGACATCCACTCTGCTGGATCAATTCGTGCAAACTTTTTTTTTTTTTTTTTGTAAATGTCCTCTGTGTGTGTTTGCTCCCTTTGTTTAACTCATTTCAGCAAGTGTTTGCAGAACACCTGTGGCGTGCTCGTTCCCATTATTACCTCCGAACAAACACAGTCATGTTTGGTGTGTGATTCACACCTTGGCGTCCACTTCCTTTCGGAGATACCAGCTCGCAATCTGCACGCTAAAGGTAGGGATGACCTTGCGCCGTTCCCCAGCGTCCCGGGCCTGTGAATGAAGAGGCGTGGGGTGGCACGCTGGGAACGTGTCAATACTGAAATGCCCTTTCCAGAAGCTGCCTCTGACCATGACATCATTTACTTAAATTAAAAAAAAAAAAAAAAAAAAGAAGTATTTTCTTCTAGAAACAAACATGTCACGGGCCCACAGCAGAGCTCAAGGGAGGGGCGCTCCTGATAGTCCAATCTGACCAACTCATTCAGCCACCCAATGACACTAACTGAGCACCTGCTATGTGCCCGGCACTCTTGTACGTCTTGAGCACAGCGCAGTGAAGAGGACATCAGGTCCTGTGCACTCTGTGGCACTCGCATGCCCATGGGGGAGACAGAAAATAAGCAGACAAGTTAAGAAGCAGAATGATTTCAACCAGTGATGAATGTTATGGAGGGAGCAGAAAAACCAGAAAGGTGGTCTGGGGTGTGTGTATCACATCCCCTCTCCAAAGAGCGGGGACACAGATTCAGATCATAAGGAGGGCCTCTCACCTCTAGCCATTTTCAGAGTGAGGTTACGGGACCTTATAAGACCTCAAGTGAAAGAACTGCATGGCCTCCTGCCAACACAGCCAGTCAGTCTCTCAGTCTCTCTCTCTCTCTCTCTCTCTCTCTCTCTCTCTCTCTCTCTCTCTCTCTCTCCTCCTATCTACTCTCTTCTTCATCAATGGTCAGACTTCATAAGGATTGACATGAACAATAGTGAGAAAGATGGGGCAGCAGCCGCTGCAGACTGAGGTGACAGTGTGCTTTTCTCTGTGGTGGATTGCTCATTCTTCCAAGGTTCATCAGCAGTGGCCCAGCCACGCCTCGCTCCGGGAGAAAGCAGTGAGTGTGAAGCCTGCCGCCTGCAGCTCCAGGAAATGGATGGGCAGCGTGTGAACCGGCCGGCCCCGGGCTCCCACAGTGGGAAGCTGTTTACTCTCTCACCAAGGACAGAGAGAGAGACACAGTCGGTCTGTAATCATTATCAGCCAGATCAACGCGTTCCAACTGACCCGCTTTCGTCAGCTTCTTTCCCCAACTGCGGTTCAATGGCCTGTGAATGTTTGCTTTCAGAAGAAAAGAATTTTTTTTATTTAAATAAATCAAGTCACGGTCAAAGGAAGCTTTTGTTACTTCATAGTCGACTCCTCTCTTATTCATATTGTGCAATGAATTTTTTTTTTAAAATTGTATTTGATGCAGCCACTGTGTGGCTCAGGCAAAAATTGCTGAAATATTATCCTAAGTGTGTTTTAACCCTTGAGTGACAAAGTTTCCTGGGAATGTGAATTATTATGTTTTGAGGTCCCACAAATTATGACTATTTGTAAAAGAAAAAAAAAAAATCATTGCTTATGACATACCTAAAGAGATGAAAGAAATAGAAGAGATGGCTCCTTTCTTAAAGGCACTTTAAATTTAGTCAAAGAAACAGCTCAAAGGCACAATAATAGGTAGCAGTGTAAGACTATACAAAATTAAGCTAAACCGTGAGATATAAACTAAATAAAGGCCCTGTGCACGAAATTCGTGCAGGGGGGTAGAGGGTGGTGGTGTTCCTCAGCCCAGCCTGCACCCTCTCCAACTGGGACATCTCTCTCACAATCCAGGACTGCTGCCCAATTGCTTGCCTGCCTGCCTTCCTGATTACCCCTAACTGCTTCTGCCTGTCAGCCTGATCACCCCTTAGCCACTCCCATGCCAGTCTGATTGATGTCTAACTGCTCCCCTGCCAGCCTGTTTGCCCCAACTTCTCTCCTCTCCCAGCCTGGTCACCCCTAACTGCCCTTCCCTGCAGGGTTGATCACCCCCAACTGCCCTCCCTTGCAGGCCTAGTCCCTCCCAACTACCCTCCCCTGCTGGCCATCTTGTGGTGGCCATCTTGTGTCCACATGGGGACAGGTTCTTTGACCACATGTGGCAGCCATATTGTGTGATGGTCAATATGCATATTACTCTTTTATTAGATAGGACTACAGAGGAGGCTGGGAGTAGCAATTAGGGTTGAGGGAAGAAGTGGGACTTGAAGGAAGGATTGGATTTAGAGAGGAAGAGAGCAAAAGTATTTCAAGTGAAGGGAATAGCGGGGACACACCCAGAGCAGAGCCTGGGCTGGGACACTCGCCTGGGACAGGGTGAGCATGCTAACAGGGGAGCCCTGGAGAAATGCTCTCCTTCATATTGCACCAGCAATGGACACGGCGTGTTTTATCAGCTACAGTTGCCTGACTGGAGACGTTTGCAAGACTTTGGCTCATCCTGATTTTCTCAGCTCCACAGTGGACTTAGGCAAATTGTTGCTGATTTATAAATATTTGTCAAATTGCAGTATCTTTATGGCTCATGGGAGTGTATGAGTGAACTGGAACATTCCTTCCCCAACAGGTCACTGCAAGGTCAATGAGATGACATCACAAATAGAAAAGCTAATATGTGATGATATAATGATTCCTTAATTTTTACACATTTCTCCTCTTAGACCTACTAAATGTACATCCTTCTGTTTGTGAGCACCTCAGTGGAATGATTTTCACTGGTTACTTTCCACAGAATTTGTTCTCAGTGCTTTCTTGGAAAAGATAAGGAAATCACCCAATCACTTTATTGAATATCTTACCAAAAAGGAAAGATTTTTAAATTGTACTTTGTACTTTTGATATTTATACATATATATTTTACCCTGTAATCTTAGATCTTTGAAGTCCCTGGTAGGAATTCCATCTCTCCTAATCTTTGTTCAGCACATTCACTAAATGCAAAGTTTGCCTCCAGTTATGGATTAACTCCTAACCAGGAAATATTTTTTACAAAAATGAATGCATATATTTGAAGACAATAGGCTCCTTTCTCCCTTATAGCTTGAGTCACTTGTGACTGAGGGCCTTTGATAATTCTAGAAACCTATCAATTTGAATTAGCCATGGATGTTAAAGAGAATTAGCAAAGCCCAGACTCTTGGGTTAAAAGATTCCAACTGGGGGGGGGTGGGGTGGGGTGGGGGGGGATTCATTTCAAACCATAAAAAATGTGACTAAGACCCCTGGTGGCCAAACGTGTCCCTGCCTCCCAGGGCAGGCATCACAGCCTTCATAGGAGCCACATCTCTCCAACTCCAAGAACAAAGGAAATGATGGAGTTCCTGAGGCTTCCTCTTTCCCACCTTCCCCAGAAACACCACACACCTGATGTTGCCAAATGTTCCTTTAAAGTATAAGACCCACAAAGAAAGTATCTCTTGTGGCTTTAAAGACAGATTTCTCCAAGGTAGCTTAGAACTATCAGAAGAAACACACACCTAGAAGGCACTTAGAACCTTCTTGGAATTCCTATACCCCAATTTTGATTGGGGCTGTCCCTGATATACTTGAAGCAAAATAAATCTACAGAAACTATCTGCACACTGCATCTTGCCAAGTGTATCAGCCTAGTATGATGGTACCCTTTTGGATTCAAGAAATATTAGAGCAGTTTGGTTCCTCTTAGAAACAAGGCGTTATTGAGTACTATATATGTTCATAAATCATAAAGAGAACAGACCTCAAATCTTTTCTGTTTCTTCATCTGTAAAATGGGGATAAAATAATATGCCTGTGGGATAGAATTACTACAACAAGGGTTGAGCTTCTATAATAATGCCTGGCACACTGTCACTCAAAAAAATAGAAGCTGTAACAATGATTATGGATAATTCCTAATTTCTACACATTTCTCTTCTCCCCACCTCTTAGCATCCACACACAAATTCTCAAGTAAACTCGGATAAAACTATTCATCTGGCCAAAGAGAGCATACTTTTTTAAGCTGAGAACCTGATATTATTCAGGATGAAATTTCCAGGCCTCTTGGTCAGGGTCAGGGGTGCAGTGGGAGTTGTACTGTCTCTTTTGGAGCCTGATGTGTCTGGCAGGAAGCAAGTTCCTTGATTAGGATTCCCGCCCTCGGTCAGCAGTTTTCCAAAACATCCTGAGATCGAGTGAATTTAGCCTACGGATTTAAAATGATGGGCTGAAGAAGACAGAATCCAAATGAATGCTGGGTCTTTCGAGAACATAGACTAACTGGAAGGTCTCTCCTCTCTCCCCCTTCTCTGCAGGTTAATCTCAGAGCCACCGATGCCAGGCTCATGCGCCAGCTGCTTGTCATCAATGAGAGCATTGAGTCCATCAAGTGGATGATTGAAGAGAAAGCCACCATCACCAGCCGAGGCAGCAGCCTCAGTGGCAGCCTGTGCAGCCTACTGGAGAGTCAGAGCACCTCCCTCCACGGCAGCTACAACAGCCTGCACGATGGCAGCGACGGGCTGGACGGCATCTCTGTGGGGAGCTATCTGGACACTTTGGCGGATGATGTCCCGGGCCATCACACCCCGTCGGACTTGGACCAGTTCAGTGACGGCTCGGTCATAGAGGACTCGCAGGCGTTGCACAAGCCTCCCAAATTGGATTCTGAATACTACTGCTTTGGCTAAGGACCCAGGTTTTTTGCATGGGATTCGTGTGCAATTAACTTGTATTTATCTCTCTTCTCTGCTGCTATATTTTTGGTGTGATTTTTTTTTTTTTTACATGAAAACCTTAAAAAAAAAAAAAAGAAGCATATTTTGAAACTGCTTGATGATATTTCTGTTGCTCCTAATATTTCTAATCTGGATTCATCTATTTTTCTCTCTTACATCTCTATTTTTATTTATTACAATGATTTTTCCCCTCTCCCTTCTTTTTACAGTGGCACAAATAAAGAAGGGGGAAAGAATGAGCAATAATTATGTTTTCACTTTTGTTTTCAGAGCAAGGGGTCAGGGATTACATAAAAAAAACTTTGCTACATTTTGCAATAAACCAAAGTCTGATGACAGCTAATTTTGTTGCTTGAATTTCTAAATGAATCCAAGTGTCATTGTCTAGAAGATACCGAGGTTTATTACTGTTTATAGAGTAGACTGAACAAAATGTTTGGGACCAAATTAGATATTATTTCCAGTCCACAACTTCTTAGCATAAAAATCAACAAAACTGTTATTCATGCATTTTTATGGCAATCATTTGGAAGACTATATGAAATCTATTCAATTCAACTTGGTGTTCACAGTATAGATCAGCACTTTCTCATCAGTGATTTTTTCATTTATTCATTTATTTTTTTTTAATCTTCACCGAAGGATAGTTTTCCATTGATTTTGAGAGAGAGGGAAACATTAATGTGAGAGAACCACATAGATTGGTTGCCTCCTGCATGAGTCCCCACCAGGGCCCAGGCCAGGGAGGAGCCTGCAACAGAGGTACTTGCCCTTGACTGGAATCAACCTGTGGGCCCATGGTCCTCAGGCTGATGCTCCATCTACTGAGCCAAACTGGTCAGGGTTTCTCATCAATGATGCTAACTGAAACAGTAGAGTGTGTTGTATGGTAATACTCGATTCTCCCAAATTTCAAAGATAATTGAGATCAGAGATTAGAGGTTAAGCCTCAGGGTGAGAAATGTCTGGCCCGCCGGCTACCAGGCCCACAAAATCTTTTGGTCGGGCCCTGTTAAGGCATCAGGGGTGAGTTAATTAAATGTTTAACCAAACAACACAGCTAATTTTTAAGTTGATAACTTTATATGTTGAATAATGTTATAATAACCAAATGGCCTCTGGCTGAAAAAAGGTTCCCCACCCCTGGGTTAAGGGGTCCTAAATTTAATTGTATTTTGAGATTTTTGTTAACATTCACTTATATGCATTTTGCAATTGCAATTGGATATATGAAAACTTAGATAATACATATGAATGGATGGATAAATATAGTTCATGCAAATCAGAATCACTATTCACTTATATGGTATCATTTCATCCTGCGATGGATAAATAATCTCTTAATTTTGATGTGATATTATTATTCCTCCACATTTCTTTACCTTAATGATTCCTAGTGAGTTTAATCTATTGAGATGTCAAATTGTGTTTTGTAATGATACATGTTTCTGCACAAAATATTTTATAGTGAATCAAAAAGTATTCTTATTTAAACAAAAAATGTCCATATTCAAGACATGGTCTCCCCAAAATGTCCTTTGTTACTATGTACCTATAACACACTTGTCAAATGTATTGTTTGTTTCCAGGACATATATTACTCAATTTACGATTAAAATCTTTAGGGTCTATATTCTACACTGGTCCTTTTTCAAAACTTCTTGACATAATGCTCATCACAACAATTTCATAATGTTGGGACTGTCTACCTTCTATGTTTGAGAAACTAAGACATACAGAGGTAGGTAAATGGGTCAAATCAACCTAGTAAGTGTCAGAACTGGGATTTGAATTTGGGTATATCTTATTCCTAACAATAATACTCAGTAGACTCTTTTGTACCTATTGAAGTTAAATAATAAAGCACAAATAAGAAAGCAAATATAAGCCGGTGACAAAAAGAAAAAAGTAACCAACCATTTCCCTTCCAATCAGTATATTCCAGTACTGAGCTTCCCAACCCTTTGTTGAAATCACATGTCCGGAGTCAGGTTTGTGCCTATAGGCGAATCAGGGAGTTGACCATATGCCAACTGTTCCTTGTATATTTCACCCTTTATGTTTTCTTTTTCATTCCCTTAATGAAAGCTGGTTGGTTGGCTATTTTGTTTGGATTTAATCTGAAGTTAAATCAAGCAATTTTTAGCACACATGACCTAGCTGAGAAAACATTCTTAGAAATATGACTGATAAATTTCAAACAGAGGGTAATGAAATATGTAACCCTATGTCAACACCACTGCAAGGAGAATGTCCCCAATAAGAGGGAGGTGGGCCAAGAGCAAGATTATATGAAGCATCAAGAGCAAATTCTAATCCCCTCAAAACCCAGCATTTGGCTAGATCATGCTAGACACATGGAAGATTATTTGCATCCTTGGATCACAGTTTCAGATGATAACTTCAATCTGGTAAATTTCTTTTACACCCTCCTTTTTCCAATCAGCTTCCCCTGCTTTTGTCTATGCCATACCTTCTGTAAGTCCCCCTTCTGTAGAAAGGAAATGAAAAAGCATAGGAATATACTATGAGAGACGTATGTGGAATAGTTTTCATTTATACGCTATATTTTATAAAACCTGTAATAAACTTTGGCAGCATATGTAAGGATAATTTTTTTTGGCTCTATTAGTTTCAATATTTTATGTGTTTTACAGTTATGCCTACTTTTTTCAAAAGATACCAAATACGGACTCAGTGATTTTGACATATGGAGTCACATTAAGCCAACAATTTGATGGTTGAGTTTTACTAAGAGGAGGGGACTATGAAGTTTATACCACACTAATTAATTACTAACATATTCATTGGTCTCAAGAGAACAAATGCATTTTCTACTAAGGAATCCCCATAACTAATGCCTGACCTGCAGTATCTGATGCTCGCTCTCTGTCTGCACCATAAGGAAATGGGGTAGAAATGTTAAAGCAAAAGTGCCTTCCAAACTGTTGTGTGTGGACTGAGTCATGTTCTCCCAGGAAAATGGAATTTTCCTTCGTTACATTAATCTCCGTTTTTATAGACTCGTTTGTCTTATGAGAGGGAGATAATTGAAGGTAAGGAATTTAGACAGCTTAAAGCTAGTACATTTTGAGAGTTTTGCAAAGAAATGAACTCTAGATGACTAATGCAGAAGTCTTGACTCAACTTCAAAGAAACTCCAATATTTATACTACCAGTCAGCCCCAAATTCCATAGCATAGTTTTAAGTATTTGCCAAAGTTTAGAAATGCAGTGAGGAGTCTTTGCTGTTTGGTGGATTATAAAGGCCCTTGCAGTTCCATGAATAACTTCAGCCAGGCATCTGTATGCACAACTCATCAGAACACAATCACGTCCATGATGCCAAACGAAGGGGTTATTTTGGGGTACTCATCTTACTGGCATCTCAGCAGTGGCGAACACATTTGATCACTTTTATTATTTGTTTTTAACTTATTGCTTTTAAATAGAGAGTAGAAGAGGGAAGGGAGGAGGAAAGGAAAGAGAGAGAGAGAGAGAGAGAGAGAGAGAGAGAGAGAGAGAGAGAGAGAGAGAGAGAGGCATTGACTTGCTGTTCCACTTATTTGTGCATTCATTGGTTGATTCCTGTATGTGCTTTGATCAAGAATCTAACCTGCAACTTTGGCAAATCAGGATGATACTCAGCCAAACGAGCTACAGACCCAAGACTGATTACCCCTTTTTTTCTTTCTTTTTTAAATTTTATTTTTTTCTTGATTTCAGAGAGGAAGGAAGAGGGAGAGAGATAGAAACATCAATGATGAGAATCATTGACCTGCTGCTTCCTGCACGCCCCCTACTGGAAATGGAGCCTGCAACCCTGGCATGTGCCTTGACCTGGAACTGAACAGTGACCTCCTGGTTCATAGGTCATTGCTCAACCACTAAGCTATGCAGGCCAGGCTTGCCCCTTTCTTAAATGACTGTCTTCCTTTGGCCTCACTCTCTCTTAGATCCCCTCCTTCCCCATTGCCTGCTTGTAAGCATACCCTGGGGCTCATTTCTTCTCAGATTTCTGACCTTCAGACAAGAGAGTACCTCTGCTCAATGCTGGCACCTCTTCTCTTGCCTGGGACTTCATCCAGCTCCACAGTTTTAAATGTCACCTAGGTGCCGAGATTCCAAAAAGTGCACCTCTGGCCCCAGTCTCTCCTTTGAACTCAAGTCTCCAAGTCCATTTGCCCACATAGCATCTCTGCTTAATGTCTGATCAGCAACTCAATGTAAACATATCCAAAACTGAAAATTTGTTATGGTCTGCAGTCTTCCCCAGTTCATAACATGAAGCTTCCACTAACAAATGCTCAGCCCACATCCTTGCAGTCATTTTTAATTGCTGTCTCTCAAACCACAACCAATCCTTCATGCAAATCACATGTGTTCTACTTTAGAAAAAAATTCAGAGCCTTGGCTGGTGTTGCTCATTGGTTAAGAGTGTTGGCCCTTGCAATGAAGGTTCTCAGGTTCGATTCCCAATCAGGCTCTAAAATGATTGCAGGTTGCATCCTAGTCTGGTCAGGACACATGCAAGAGGCAACAAATCAATGTGTATCTCTCACAGTAATGTTTCTCTCTTTCTCTTTCTCTTCACCTCCCTCTTTTCCTTCCACTCTCTTTTTTGAAAGCAATGGAAGTATAATATAATCAGGTGAGAATTTGTATAAAACATAGAATGAGCTACAAATTCATATTACCACTGTTACCACTCTATGCTAAGTCAGGATCATTTCTCCCCAGGACCACTGCAATAGCCCTGTCTTGTCTCCTTGCTCCCACCTTACCTTCCTGCAGGTAATAGTCAACATAGCAACCAGAATAACCTTTTAAAATAGAAGTCAGATTTTTGCCAGCCTGTGTTCCAACTATGCAATGTACTTCCATTTCCCTCTCAGTGTAATCCAACTCTTTCCCACAGATTACTAAATGCTACCAAACCTGCCACCTTTCTA